TCCTTCTCGCAGCAGCTCTTCTAGCTTACCTGCCTGCCACAAAACAAGTCTTCTCTTCAACACTTCAGTGTGTTCCTTTGCTTTGGACCTCTTTGAGGGTTTCTGCAACAGCAGTGATGGCATTATCATCAAAAGGGTCATGGTCACTGATTCCATAGCACTGCCTGATGTGAAATTGTTGGCCACTTTAGTCATTTCTTCGATGAATGCTTTTCCTGCCGCCCCTGAGGGAAGCAAAAATATGTTTCTTCTCCATTTAACTATAACACCATACATTTCCTCACATTTTGTCAGAACTTCCCAACTATTCCATGGTCCTAATTTCAATCGAGATGGATCACTTACATTTTCATGATCTGGGAAACAGCACTCCTTTGCCTCTTCTACCACAGTATCAGCGTCCTTTGATGTTGTTTTTACGCAACTTGTACATAGATATTCATCATCGCTTTCACTCAGTTTCTTGTATTCTGTTTTACTGATCTTCAAGCAAGTCCTATGATGCCATGAGTGACATCTTTCGCACAGCAAGCCATCGTCATACTCAGTCACTTTAAGATCGCATATTGGACAAGTCTCGGTAAGTGTCCTCAAATCCTTGATTGCTTGAGAGACAGTTTTATTTGTTTCTTCTGGGTCTGTACATTGATCTGGATTCGGTATTTTTGTTCTCAACTGATTTAGATCTGGTTTTCATCATTTCCAACCCAAAAACGGGGACCACCACTGTTTTCCGAGTCGATTACCAGCAGGAGCTGTAGCTTACCGCTGACAGTCCCTACTGGATGCGGGTCTCCTTAACAGTAGTGGATCCGAATTTGGGATCTGATGGAGTAATCTCGACACCAGAGGGTTTTACAGAATATATACCAATAGAAACTTGTTTTCATGGTACACCTGTGCATTTTAAGTTGTTGATTCATTTTAACTTGGTTGTTTAGGCCAATAGATTAAAGATAATTTTTAAATTTTAGTAGATATATTTTTGATGATGTGTGATGATGTTTGTGTCATTATATTTTGATTTGATTTGATTTGGTAGGTTGCCATAGACTTCTTTGTTGGTTTTGCGCTGCTTCCAATCCACATTTAGTGCCATCCTTAGCATTCTAGTGTAGCAGCCATCAATGCGTTTCTTCAATTGCTCTGTCAACGTCCACGTTTCAGAACCATAAAGAAGTATTGACTCCACAGTAGCAACAAATAGACGGATCTTTAGTCCTCTTCTAAGGTCAGACTTCCACATCATATAACAATACAGTATTAAAAATTATCAAATATGTTTGTCTACCATATTGAAAATATAAAATGTTTACACACAATGTCACAATGACCCTATATAAAAATAACCCTTCAAAATCTTTTGTGAAAACTGGCCACGGGCCTAAATATTACATATCAATCAATTACAATTCATTAATATTACCAATATTAAAAACTATCGAAAATATTCAAGAAAGTATTCTCTAGCCAAAGGGCTCAATATTTAAATCTAAATCTTCAATATTGTCTGGTTTATATCGCAACTTGGGCCCTCTGTCCCCCCTTATCGAAATAACCGTTGTCTTTAATACCTCAAAGCGCAAGCGCTTTCTAAGATATGTAACTGAGTCTGAATAACGCTGACCCGTTGGAGATTCCATCTTTTGTGCAAGCTTTTTAATCAAGCGTTGCGCTTCGACTCCCATGCCTCCTGTTGTGGAGAAAACTAAAGGTGTAAAGGTAGCTTTTTCCACTTCTAGGACCCTTGCATTATATGCTCTTTTCTTCTCAGTCTCGTGAGCCAAATACATCATAGGAATTGGTTTAGCAGCGTTGGTTGGAGCAGGAGCGCGAAACACTCTTACATAAAAAAAATGCTCTTCAAAATCTCAATATTTTGAAAATCACCCTTGGCCTTGCGGCTCCAAGTTCAAATCTAAACTATCTATATTGACAAAGTTCTTTCTCGCCCCTCTGTCTCCCCAGAGAGAAATTACCGTCGTTCTTAAGATTTCGAAAGGAAGGCGTTTCCTAATGTATCCCACAGCATCTGAGTACCTCTGCCCTGTGTGGTATTCCGTCTTATTAGCCAACTTCTTTACTAGTCTTTCAGCTTCACCACCCATTCCACCAGACGTTGAGAAAACTAACGGCGTGAAGCTTCCTTTCTCTACTTCCAGGACCCTTGCATTGTAACACCGTTATCAATATGTGCCTAGGCGTACTACATACTAAATGATGCGATAAGCTACTGCATGGCAAGCACTAGAAGGCCAAGGAATTCGGTCAAAGCAATTAAATAATTTATAAATTTTTAAAATAAAATTATACTTGGTAGTGGATTTTCGAACATAAAACATTTCTGTTAAAATAAATCTTCGATTTAAAAAATAAATGAAGCGCTTTTTTGCCATGCATTCACCTATAAACCATGTGCTATGATTGCACCACTGCGGCGCGGGCGCGCTTGTTTTACGTGTATGCTACTGCAAGCGCAATCAGGTCTTTATTTGGTCTTTTATTTGGTCCGAGCAATGCCGTGCATACTGTAAAAGTTGCTCTAACCAGAGCCCTCTCGCTTGCAGTAACGCGCGACCACCGTGAAACAAGCGCGTCATGCAGTACGCGTAGACACATGGCTATGTGAACTGTAAAAGTGTGATCAGACGCGCTAACCCCTGTGCGCAGCGCTCTTTCATCTTTGCTAGATTTTATATGACATGATACAAAAAAAATTACGTGACAGTCAAGTGTAAAGTGATTAATCCTATTCCAAAAGATTTTACTACAAGCAAGCATAGTAAATAAAAATGTAATAATCGTAAAATATTTGTTTCAAATATTTGACGGATGTTACTTGTCTAAATTTGTTCAAAGTTTTAATTTGCAATACGATTGCCTCTTTTAATTTTTTTTAAAACGTTTACAGATTACAACTTATAGGTTTAAAACCTACCAGGACGCGTGCTGAGTTGGACTCGTCGACACAAAATTATACATATTTATATTATTTTCAAAATAAATTTCCAGCTTACTCCCTATAACTTAAGCTTTTATTAAGTTTGTACCTCAAATTAATATGTCTAAAAAAGTGTTATAGTATATATAATTTTGTATAGGGTGATGTACTGTTGACAACGCCGCGCATATTCAAATAATGCCGCGCCTGTCGATACCTGACAAGTTCAAAGTTGTTTTTTAAAATTAATTTACAAGTTAGTATCGCTAATATTTTTAGGCTTCAGCATCGCAGCATTTCGCGTTTTTAATACAAATAAAGCGGATAAATGTAATTATACAAACACGATTGACAGATGATTGGTCACTGTGTATGTTGCTACACTGTACTCGTTGTATACCTCTCTCGTGCACACGAAGCGTGGCACTCCGTCCGATTTACCATTTCGATTTATGACTTACGATTCATTTTTTTGCGTCTATGTAGCCACTGTCGTTCGAATGATTTTGAAGACAAATTGATTGGATGCCAATTGTCCAGATTGACCTGTTCACATCATACCTAATCATTTGATTAGTAATTGAACTGTCTCACAAGGAAGTTTTTGATAAGGGACCTTTCACATATTACATAATCACTTTTTGGACAATTTAACCCCCCCTCAGCAATCAGTTTTACACATAGCTATTGTGCCAGAATTACACTAGCGTTATCTTTTAAAAAGCCTCCCGCCCCTTCCCTCAGTGATTACATAACAACCCAGGCCCATCGATATCAGCACCATATTGATGAGATACGTAAGTTCCTAACGTGGACAAGGGGGTCCAACGAGCTCAACAGAAGCAGAATAGACCTTCTGACTAGTGTCCACAACGGTGTTGTCAGCTATTCAAAAGACGAAATAACCCGCTTTATGGACTTCACCTGGAATAAACATCTCCTACTGAACCCTAGAATAAATCCGGGTGAGATACTGGATAACATCGATGAGAGGAGCAAAAAGTTGTTTCCTCGCTATTCAAGCAGGAGCACAGACACTAAAGTAATGTCTCTCTTGCATGGCCATGACATCACCTTCACAGCATTCATGGCAAGGGTTGCCAACAACTGCGACCCTCAGTGTCCGAATTGTCAGATGTTGGACAACAATTACCATCGAATCTTCTCTTGTCCACTGTACCGCTGTTCCTACAGAGAAACCATTCAAGAGCACTCCACTAATGACCAACCATGCTGGTCTATCTTAAGAGATGGTAGTGATGGCAGCATCACTGCCTTCCGATCTTTAGCACAGATCGCCATCGGTGAACTATCATAGAATTGATACTTATACTTATAGTACTCCTTCACCTCCATCCCCCTTCATGTCCTACATCTCCTTTAAATGACATCACTCCCCCTTCAGCCTCTACTACTCCTTTACTACTCCATCTACTGCCTCATCTTCTGGACATCATTATCTTCTAGCTTAGTTGAGAATTCTCAACACCCACTTCCAAGTCGAGTACTCTCGACCCACTTAGTCCACATACCTTGCAAACTTACAGCAGGGTATTTGTAATGGTCTAAGTCCCTAATACACGCCAAAGATGGTTCCTCTATACTCAACCGTAGGAGAAGAGAATTAGGTGACTGTATTTTGTTCTAATGTTGATATTAATATAAGTATGTTCTAGTTGTTACTCCTTTTGTTTAAACGTTTTTATGGTACTCTCCTTAAATTATTTCAATGCAGTCACTCAGATGGTTTTTAAATCAGGACACTTAAATAAAGACACATACTCTGCCCACAATAAGGGGCCATAATTTTTAAATTATGTAACAGTATAGAATTATTATTATTATTATTACATAACAACCCCATAGTAAAATTGACAAAGCAGAATTAAGACATTTCCAATCATTCAGATTGTGATGCTTCTGCGCTTTTGTTTACTGCTATTTTGAGATTCATTCAATCTTGGATTCATGGTTATTTTCAGCTGATCATTAATTGATGAAAATAATTTTCTAACCGTTCAACATCTCATTATGCTAACAACTTTCATAACACTGACAAACATTCATCTAGCAATGAAAACTATCCTTGGAAAAGAAGACTGTGCCCACGTGTATGAGCTAGTGCGTTACATGATATCCCTATAATGTCTTATGTGGATGAGCTAGCGCAATTTAGAAATGCCTGGAAAAACGAACTGTTTGGCAAATGTCCGACAAAGCAATCGAAACAAATAGAAGCAAAGCAATTGTATGTGAAGGGAATGCAACTAGAAAGAGAAGGGTACTGTTATGAAGCAATTGAGTATTTTCGGCAGGCTCTAAGGCTTGTCCCTGATATCGAGAAACATATTGGTGTTAATATCGATCTTGGGGCCAGCTCAACTGCTACTGGAAACTTGATAATTCCTGGACTTGAGGAGGTGTATATTTTGTTTTATTCAGATTCTTTAATGTAGATCTCATAAGACAACTGACCAATTGTAATACAGATTAAATCTTTCATTCTATCTTAACTGTAGAATCCACAGGTTGAAGGCCAGGACCTATCTACCTTACCAGTTGGAAGAGGTCAGTGGCCTGAAAAATTTAACACTTCTGAAACACGTTTTGAAGATGTTTACACTTGTTTTCCCGAAAGGAGTGTTTCAGGTACTCACATTTCTGCCCTTCCCAATGAGATAATTTTGACGATTCTCCGGTATGTGGTGTCCATGGAGCTTGACTTAAGATCAGTTGAGACTTTCGGAGAGACCTGCAAATGGTTCCACAATCTGGCAAGAACGCCACAGCTGTGGCAAGCAGCTTGTCAGAAAATATGGACTGATATCCAGCCTAAATCAATCCCGACCTCTTGGAGAGCAATCTTTATCAATAGACCTCACATGAGGTTTGATGGGGTGTATGTTAGTCGGATCAAGTACCATCGCCAAGGAGCACAGAAACCAAACATGTGCTGCACGCTGCAGACTGTCTTCTACCATCGGTTTCTTCGCTTTTTCTCTGATGGCCTTGTACTTGGTCTTAACACCACACAAGCACCACAATATGCCGTTGCTGCCCTCAAAGATAGAACAAGTACTAACAAAGATGTCACCTATGGCCAGTACACAATTTCTGGGCGAGAGGTTAAAATCGTCCTCTTTCAACGGGACTCCTCAGATCGATCCTCCATCAAACTGAAACCTGACCAATCATTCAACATCACTTTCAAACTGTCAGGATCAACAGGCAGGCAAGCACTGCAATGGTCAGAGTACTTCACAGTGGACAAAAAGAATGGTCTAACTACAAAAAGAAATATTGAGGTGGTCCCTCCCCACTTTAGTAAGTTTGTGTACATCAGAGCTAAGAGTTACACAGCTGTATCTGGTGGCACAATCTAACGTTACATTCTGGTCAACTTGGTGAAATATTAATACATCCTGCTGTTATATCTTTGATGTACAGTCTCAATTAAAGGTTTAAGGATATTGAGAACTGAGAACTGTTCGACTACAGTTAATTTGGCAGCTCATATTTAGAAAAGAAAGAATTTTTGTATCGTAGTTTAAATATTTTTCTCGAATATATGTTTGGTTAGTTTTTCTGTTTTCTTAGTTTGCATCTTATTATCAGCCAGTTAATGAAGTGTGTGTCATAATTCAGTTTATTATATGTATCAGTCCATATTATAAATGATAGATCTTTCGATGTCCAAAAGTAAATCATTTTTGACAGAACATTTAAAATCACACTTGTTGCTGCTGCATCTTTTGAATTACCTCAAATTGTCTAAATTGATATCAATTTTCAAGACCAAAGTTACCGTAGTGTTTCTATATATAATCAGATGCACTTAACATGCTTGACCATAGCTATAAGTGGAGACATCACAATGCAGCCTAAAACTTTATTCAAAAAAAAAGCAAAGTGCGATTATAAAATATATGATTAAGCAGCTTTTCGAGTTTTAATAACGTTAACGTTTTAATATCACATTTAATCTCATAGATCTACTTTATAATCTTATATGACAATTTCGTGTTTCAATTCCAGAAAAATTAATTCACACCACTCTTTAAAAAGTATATTGCAATTTCTTGTGGAGCTAGAAAGCTTGGAATTGAATATCATGAGTTATGCGTGTTGCATAACTTGAAATTGATAAAATGTGAGCAGTTTCATATTTCAGATTCCACTAAATTAACAGAATTAACCGGTTATTAGGGAATGCCGAAGGGAGGGGCACACAACCCGTCAGTAGACAGGGACAAGAGAAATATGGGACGTAAAAAACGTGTAACGGAGATTTTAGAGGACCAGTTTAGAAGCGAACTGGAGGATGTGGTGATATCTCAGAAAGAGGGGAACAAACCTCTTTTTCATGGTGGAGTTAATTTGAACGGTACTGGAGGCCCTACTGGAGGGTAAGTCTCACTTTACCTTTCCCATTTACTTAATGAATTTACTTAATTAACCAACCTACCTGTGGCTAAAGCTTTAATATACAAAAACAATACATTTTAAACTTTCTATTTTACATTATCGTTCACTTTTGTATGTTTCTCATAATTCTAATCTCAAAAAATGAATTTTCCTTTCTTAGCAGTTTAAAAAAAATGTTTCTCTTCTCATTCGGAGCCTTCCTACTTTTGAAGTTTCCATTTGTAAGTCCTTCTAGTCCTAACATTGCTTTCCCAGGTCTGAATTTAAAGGGCTAGCCAATATGAGGCAAGTGAACGATTTGAATGGATCTCTACGGGACAAATACAGTAAACCTGAGCGAGAACTGAGATGCAAATTAGCAGCTCTTTACAGACTTACAGCTCATTTCGAATGGGATCATCTCATCTACAGTCACATCACGGTAAGTCACGGCATTTATCTACATTGCATTGTTCAATCTAAAACGCTTGACATATTCCATAATTGGTATTTTGATGCGACGTATTTTAATGAATCTGCCTAAATCTGTCGGATCTCTTGAATGAAACACGCTGACATATCAAATCATGCCATTTACAGTCGAGGAAATGTCCATCAATAGAATATTACTTGAAACTCAATGGCATATTTTTGACAGATTATAAATGCTAGTGACACAACATCCCTCTCCACTTTTCTACTCTAGCTAACTTTACACTCTGACAGGCGAGATTACCAGATAACAAGAATCACTTTTTGATAAACCCCTACGGTATGCAGTACTCAGAGATCACTGCCTCATCTCTTATCAAAGTAGATAAGGATGGTATGTACTGTGTTTACTTATTACTTAGATTGCCTTTACCTTTATCATTAATTGTGCAAATTTATTGGGATACGAAAATTTTCTTCCTTACAAATAGTTATTGGATAACTTTAAAAATAAGGTGAAAAGGCATCCATCGCAGTAGTGAGAAATTAATGATTGATCTATTAACAATATTGATTGAGAAGCAGACACGTGGACTACACCAACTCACTAATGACCGCTAATTACAACAAGTCACTAATGACCGCTAATTTACTAATTACCCACTTGTTGTCCAGGTAAGATAATAGATGCAGGGAGCACAGTACTACCAGTCAACAAAGCAGGCTTCAAACTGAACTCAGCACTTCACGAGACTGGACAGGACATTGTGTACCATACTCACTCTCACGCGGGCACTGCTGTAAGTACCTCAGTAGGATCTGTGTGTGACAGTGGGTCACACCTGCTCACATTTAACTCGCTCTCTACCGACTACGATTGGTTTGTTTTATTTCCATTCTCTCCTGGACTTCATGTTGAGAAGATTGGTGGTGATACGATTACACTGACCTCTAAATCTTAATATGTAATGGTGTTTACTGTACCTATACTACTGTACTTTTACAGTGTATAGTTCCCCTGTTATTACCCGAATATAGAAAATATGGTACTTCATATTTACATAACCGCTTATCATGTGGGGTTGAATCACGAGTATATATCCTGATTACGTCACCCTATTACCTTATTTGGTCATATCCCGCCCTCACAAGAACCCGTGTCCCATTATGTAAGAGTGACAGTGTTGTGAGCTCACCGGATACAAGTTACAGACACCTCCCTCTCACATTCCGCAAGGAGTAATGAGGGGGGCCCGTGATGTAGTCCACCGTAGATTTAATAACAGGACAATGTTCTCAGAGTGTGGGACTGGATCGAGTTACATTGTGGAGTTACCTGTTTTGTAATTAGTTTTACACACAGTGTGTGATTGCATTGTAAGAATTGCTAATATATGTCCAGGTTTTCATGTAGGGCTGTTTGAAGGAAGTGGTTGATTGAAGTGAGATATCTGCTGGTTGCAGGCACCATAATCAGACATTTTACAAGGAAGATCTAAGTCAATAGAATTTGCAAGTTTCTACACATTTCAACATAAGTTATGTCCAACAGAATGTTACATTGTTTACCGTGTATGATGTAGGATGTTTTATGATAATTACTCTTTAGGAGCATTATAATCAATATTATTGTTGTTAAATTGGATAAGCAATGAAACGGCATCAAGTAGGTGATATCTTCGTAAATAAAATTACATCTCTAGCCTACAAAAAAAGGAACATGGTTAGAAACAACAGTAATTCTTACAAATGATAGAAAATTTAACATTATTATAAAAATCACAAGCTGAGCAACCTAACAAAAAAGATCAATATCAATATTATTATGTTATAGGCACCTTGATTTTGTTCTTTTATCCATTTTCCTAGGTACAATTAATAATCTAGTAAAAAACACACATTTGCGCTACGATAATCAGATTAAGGATTTATACAAAATCTCATCAAGTAATAATAATCCTCAATATTAATTCCTTCTGTCCACTGATCGTCGTATTCAATCATTAATTTAGATATCAATTCAACATTCTTCCTTTACCCTAACAGGTTCCATATATAATTACTGTGTGCTCGTTGATATGACTCCGTTTCATTTCCTCGTCAGAAACATAATTGGGATTGTTGTCAAAGCTCAGCTGTGGAGGTACTGAATCTGAAGAATTTCAATATCTCTCGAAATACTTTTCCCAGGAACCCTGTCAATGACTTTTCGTAGATAAGTGGGTTGATAATAGAGTTGAGTGGCAGCACTGTCATTGCTAGATAAAGATACCATTTCGTTGCATCGAAAACTTTAAGATCATGCATACTGCTTATGAAAATAAAGGGCACCCAACAAAGGAAATCTGTCACAAAAATGAGTGTTATTTTATGCTGTATAGCCCTATCCTCTCTCGCTCTGTGGGCAGTATTACTCTGACCAGAGCGCTGGGAAGATCTTTTAGTTTGTATGAAGATAATCAAGTAGGAGCAAGTAATGACGAGAAAGCAAAATAAGTTAACAGCAAGCATCATCCACACTACAGGATCTCCAAGATGATCGGTCATATTATCTGATCCACTTTCTGATTGTCTGTTCCTCCTGGCATCGTCACTTCGAATAAAGTATTTATACAAGCACACACCATCATTCCCATAGAAGTGAACAGGGCGTCGACTCAACCTACCATATTGCTGAGTGAACATTCCGTCCACCTTTTCACCGATTTCTTTCCAGGTCATACCCGAAGTAACATTTTTAGTGTCGTAGTGAGCTTGAAGAACTCTGATATGTTTCTCTTTAGTTGGGTAGCCAATGAAAACCCTGTAACTGGGGTCGTAATACATTCCCTGTACAAAGTGTTCCTCCAATAAAGGTAGCAATGGTATTAGAGCTACAGAAAGTGAAGCAGTGACTATGGAGATCACGAGAGTAGTGACACTAACAATACACCGTCTATTAGTAGGAGTTGGAACACTCATTTTCTTGAAAGTGATCCCGTACATTCTGATAAAGCTCAAAGTTGTCATTGAGAAAAGAGAGACTTGTGATCCAATCGTGCTTATGACCCCTAATATTGAACATGCTGTCCCAGTTAACCATTCAGCTTGGTGTCTGCAAAACCCGCTTCCGTATATAAAACTATCATAAAAAGACAACAGTACTAAATATATTCCGATGAATAGATCCCCTGATCCAATAAGACTGACTAGAACCTTGGTTGTCAGCAAACGTCCGGTCTTACATTTATTTAATGTTGCTAGCTGTAGGATAACGGTGTAGGAGTTGAACATCACACCCAACACCCCCATTACCCAACATGTTACCCGCAGTGTCCAGTGTCCAAGTATTCTCTTCCCACAATTATCATTACATTCATCGGAGAGGTCAAAGCAATCAAATATACCATCACATCTCTGTGATAAGGAAATGAACTGATGATTGGTTGAATTTAAAGTGTCTTCACAGATCATGTGATTTGAACAGTTTACCTCGTCACTCATGTCCCCACAATCATCGATGAGATCACAAACCTGCTTGTATTCCACACATCTGCTGTTATTGCATTGGAAGTAGTCCTGTTGATATTGGCCTTGCTCCGACATAGAAAGAAACGTTAGAAAGGAATTGTTGGCAACCGTATAAACTCGATCTATATACTGTGCCGGACATGAATCGTACATTAATGGTCTGTTATTAAGAGGACATGTTGCTTCTGGACACAGGTCCATGCAACTGAGGTACAGATAGTTTTCACCGAACTGACTACTGCAGTCCACTTTATAGGTGGGAACAATTAACTCTTCTTTTGGTTCCCTAAATACGACACCCCAAGGCCTTCTGAACTCCCTTACCTCACAGCTCTTTTCATTGCAGATATCACGCATTGATCCATTATGTAGATCCGATGTCTTGCTAATGACTGGAAAATCTCTGGCGATCCTACAAACCTCATTCTCTGCACCGTCACCACACGTCTCTACTCCGTCGCAGAGTTGTTCGAACTGAACATAAGATTTAACACCTCTTGGACACAGATATACATTTTGACACTTTTCTTTACCTTGGGAAAATCGATATGTTTTTTCAGAGTGATCGCCACAGAACTTTGATTTCCCAGCCTGTTCATCCAGTCCGTCCACACAGTCCGTCTCACCGTCCATTATCCACGGAATTGGAATTCCAAACTTCACTTTCATGCCAAATCTACGGACACACTGTAAATCTTTGGCGATGAAATCACACATGTCATGAAGTTCGTCACTTCCATCAGGACAATCCATTACCCCGTCACACATCCTGTGTTTGTGTATTTTGCAGTCAGGATTAGTCGTGGATATGCAGTTGTTTTGAAAATCATCGTCACACAACTTTACTGGCAAGTCAGTTACCTTATCATGATCATAACAAACCATATACTTGGAGATACTGGAATTAAAACCGTTCACCATGCAGTACCCTCCTACTCTTTCTATATCAGAACAGTTTGTTTGATCTAAATAGTCCAGACAGTACGGATATATCATATCTTCTTTCTTTTCTTTCGTCAAGTCAAAAACAAAGCATCTAGTGTAGTTAAATAAAGGCACTTCTCTAGTCTCACTATTCTCGTCCACTTGTCTGCCGTAATGAGTACAAGAATGAGGTGTATTTTTAGTAATATTACAGCCTCGTTCGTCCTCACCTTTATCGCAAGTTTCATATTCATCACATATATTTGTGAACCCGCCTGGAGAGGAGTGTGCTGGTAAATACCAATCTTCATTCCATTCTTTAATAAAACAGTTAATTCCATAGAAATATCCGTTACATATACTTTCATCTATACAATCGGTTGCTTCGCATTTATCATTGCAGAGCTGGGTTTTTTTTTCTTCAGTTGTTGTTGAGACCCCAGTACCGTTTGGCACGGTGCAATGTTTATCGACTTTGCAGTCCTCATCACATTCGATGGATTCGTTAATTTTGCAAATGAAGTCGCCACAATTCACATCTATGTTCGTTATTTCTGAGCTAAACCCACACGTTTGATAGAAATTTGGGTCGTTTTCACACACATCACTATAATAAACATCCCAAAAGTTATCATAGTATACGAGATCACCTTCATAGTTAAAATCAGGGAGGACACACTTATAATAGTGTCTTCTCTTAGTTTCATTAAAACACACATCGATAAGAAACCCTCTTCTTATTGCCAGGGTGCAATTTTGCCCTCGTTTTCTCAAATCGTTCACCACTCTGTAGTCCACGCGATCCGAATAAGAGCAATAATCATCCGTGTCACCACAGTACCCATCATTGAGAGAACTACAACACGGCATCTCTCCATCGGGATCACACTCAGCAGGACTACCATCTGGGAGGGGATTCCAGGCACCACAATTCCCATCAGACCTCCACTTGTTGGTACTTTCTGATTCTGTCGATGTCTCATCTAGATCTGTTACTCTGAAGTCTTTACAGTCTTCACAAGAACAGTACTCATCCGTATTGCCACATTCGCTTTCCCATAAATCATTACAACATGGGTTCTCCCCATCAGGGTCACATTCAGAAGGCATATGATCTGGTAGGCGATATTCTTCACCACATTTCATGTCGTACCTCCACCTCCTCTTACCTCCTGATTCTATCCACTCCTTCACAAATGTGTAGTTTACACTCCCATATGAAGAACAATGCACTGTCGTGTTACCACACTCATCAAGCCAACTACAACACGGTTTCTCTCCATCAGGATCACACTCAGCAGGACTTCCATCAGGGTGGGGATACCAGGGCCCACATTTCCCATCGGACCTCCACTTGTTCGTACTTTCTGATTCTGTTGATATCTCATCTAGATCTGTTACCCTGAAATCTTTACAGTCTTCACAAGAACAGTGCTCATCCGTATTGCCACATTGGCTTTCCAATGGATCATTATTACAACATGGGTTCTCCCCATCAGGGTCACATTCAGAAGGCATATCATCTGGAAGGGGATAATCACGACCACATTTCAAGTCGTACCTCCACTTTCTCTTACCTCCTGATTCTATCCATTCCTTCACAAACGTGTAGTTTACACTCCCATATGAAGAACAATAATCTGTCGTGCTACCACATTCAGAAAACCAATTACTACAACACGGATTTTCTCCATCAGGGTCACACTCACCAGGACTGCCATCGGTTAGGGGATAAAAGGCACCACATTTCCCATCAGACCTCCACTTGTTCGTACTTTCTGATTCTGTCGATTTCTCATCTAGATCTGCATCTGTCACTCTGAAGTCTTTACAGTTTTCACAAGAACAGTGCTCATCCGTATTGCCACATTCGCTTTCCCATAAATCATTATTGCAACATGGGTTCTCCCCATCAGGGTCACATTCAGAAGGCATGTAATTTGGGAGGGGATAATCACGACCACATTTCATGTCGTACCTCCACTTTCTCTTACCTCCTGATTCTATCCACTCCTTCACAAATGTGTAGTTTACACTCCCATATGAAGAACAATGCTCTGTTGTGTTACCACACTCACCAAGCCAACTACAACACGGTTTCTCTCCATCAGGATCACACTCAGCAGGACTTCCATCAGGGAGGGGATACGTGTAACCACAATTCCCATCAGACCTCCACTTTACCCCGGTTTCACCTGTGGGTGAAAGCTTCTAAGCAATTTTGAAACTGTTTAGATGCAATTGTTTACACAGGAATGGGGACATGTCCCTGGCGAGGACTCGGATCTAAGTTTATCTTATGCAAATTAAGCCATCTAATGCGACTCATAGGCAGATACATATAAGAACCAAGAATTTTATAAACGCAGTGTTGAAATTTAGAAGGTTAAAATCCCGCTGTCTTTCGGACCCCAATCGTTAGGAAAGTTTGCAAATAATGATTCATTTTTTTTCAATTTCACCTTAACAGTTGTGGAATGTGGATTGTATAATACATCCAAGCAAAAATATAATTCTTCTATTAGTTTTTTATAAATACCTTGAAAAACGATGACCTGACCTAAAAAGATCAATTGTGCTATCCCAAGTTTCCCACACTTCTGCATTTCCTGATTTTATGATTTATAGTCCTCAGCTTTAAGATAATCCTAAAAGGATACGATTACATGTATGTAGAAAGTTGATCCTTTAGCTTTCATCATCATAGAACAAATCAATTGTGCGACATATTTATCATTTGTAATGAAAATAAGGCTGAAATTGAGTGTGGTGCACCAGTAAATATAAATATATGACAAGAAGAACTGGTGCGAAGTTTTAACATGAAAATGATGTTAAGAAAAAACAAAATAATGTAAAGATTTATTTTGAAACGAAATACAAAATACAGCAATTAGTGCTAAATTAAAAAAATTTTAGTGTTTAAAAAAACCGTGCTCCTTTATCAAAAAGATTCTGTCGAATTTTTAAATGACATTAAAAATATATATCTGACGGAAAGATTCAGATATATATAACATAGAGCTTGCTAACCCCGGTAACATTAACTTACTCTTACTACAGAGCCTGTAATTAACGGTTACGTTGCCTCCGAACAGGTATAGTGGGTATCCCACAATGAGTTGATGAAAATGTGGTTTTATTGGCATCAGGATTCAAAGTGCCATGCTAACACATCAATAAATCTACCCTATTTTCAGATCTCTGCTATGAAGTGTGGTCTTCTAAATCTGTGCCAGGAAGCTATTATCGTAAGTAAACATCGCTATAAAATGTTGTATCATTCTAAGTAAACATTGCGCTTCAAATTGTTTTCTGTTCTTCTTTACTTTTAGCTTCTTTTTTAAATGGTCTTTATGTGGTAGTATGCTAGATCTAGTATCTCTATACATTAACCAAGATGGAAGCTAAAGGGCATGAACAGAACTCTACAGTGTAGTGCGTTCTGTAATAACGCACTACATGTAACATGTTCTTTAATTTGTTGAGTAATCTGGGTTAAAGACCAGAGTTATGCTTCTCAATGTTTAATATATTCACTCTGCCATGTACAATTTCTCATGAATAGACAATGGAGCAATGGGAAACGTCACATCATTTGCTTGGTCTCGACAGTCTACACATTGTACTTAAAACTGTATAATATTTTGTGCTAGAATTATAGTCGTAAGACGATGTAGCTGTTACATCTTACATCATCATAAACGTGTTACACAACATGTGAAGAATTGAATTTAAACAAATAAATATTGAACAACGTTTATTAGATTACAATTTTCAGAGAAAAACTCCGGTCTGACATTTGTTATTAACGCAATAACAGGGATAACGCTATTGAATTAAATCGGAATCGTAACAGTTGGAATGATCTGACCATAATTGTAGCAAATTCGTGCTATTTTGGGGGGGGGGGGGGGGGGGGGTTGTCACGTCCGTCTATGTCCGCTTGTCTCATAGAATCCAAAAAGGACAGGACATAGGCGGACATAGGCGGACATAGGCGGACATAGACGGACATATGCGGACATAGACGGACATAGGCGGACATAGACGGACATAGGCGGACATAGGCGGACATTAATGGACACCTAAATTGCTAAATAAAATGTTCAATTTTTGCTGTTATAGGGGGATCATGTTTTTTGTCCGTTCGGTACCCTATATTTTCAAAACGGACAAAAAAAAAGAGCGGACAAAAATGGACAAAAACGGAAAAAAATGGAAATAACATTTAGATGCTTCCTCCTCCTACTCTTCCTCCTCCTCCCCCTGGGTCTTCCTGATCTTCCTCAGTCCTCTTCCTCCTCCCCTCCTCAGTCCTCCTCCTACTCCTCCTCATCCTCAGTCCTCCTCATCAGTCCTCAACAGTCCCCCTCCTCCCCAGTCCTCCTCCTCCTCCTGAGTCCTCCTTCTGGGTCCTCCTCCTGGGTCCTCCTCCTGGGTCCTCCTCCTCTTCATCCTCCTCCTCTTCCTCCTCAGTCCTCAGTCCTCCTCAGTCCTCCTCCTCATCCTTCTCCTCAGTCCTCCATCCTCCTCCTCAGTCCTCCCCCAGTCCCCCTCCTCCTCCTCCTATTCAGTCCTCCTCCTCCTCAGTCCTCCTCCTCCTCCTCCTGAGTCCTCCTCCTCCTCCTCTTCCCTCTCAGTCATCCTCCTCAGCCATCCTCCTCAGTCCTCCTCAGTCCTCCTCCTCCTGGGTCCTCCTCCTCCTCTTCATCCTCCTCCTCTTCCTCCTCGGTCCTCAGTCCTCCTCCTCCTGGGTCCTCTTCCTCATCCTTCTCATCAGTCCTCCTCCTCCCCAGTCCTCTCCCAGTCCCCCTCCTTCTCCTCCTCCTATTCAGTTCTCCTCCTCCTCCTCCTCCTCAGTTCTTCTCAGTCCTCCTTCTCATTTCTCCTAAGTCCTCCTCCTGAGTCCTCCTCCTCCTCTTCCTCCCGAGTCCTCCTCCTGAGTCCTCCTCCTCCTCCCTCTCACTCATCCTCCTCAGTCATCCTCCTCAGCCATCCTCCCCAGCCATCCTCCTCAGCCATCCTCCTCAGCTCAGTACTCCTCAGTCCTCCTCCTTCTCAGTCATCGTCAGTCCTCCTCCTCAGTCCTCCTCAGTCCTCCTCCTCCTCCTCCTCCTTCTCCTCCTGGGTCCTCCTGGGTCTTCCTGATCCTCCCCAGTCCTCTTCCTCCTCCCCTCCTCAGTCCTCCTCCTACTCCTCCTCCTCCCCTCCTCAGTCCTCCTCATCAGTCCTCAACAGTTCTCCTCCTCCCCAGTCCTCCTCCTCCTCCTGGGGCCTTTTCCTGGGTCCTCCTCCTGGGTCCTCCTCCTCCTGGGTCCTCCTTCTCCTCCTCAGTCCTTCTCCTCCTCCTCCTCAGTCCTCTTCCTCCTCTTCCTCCTCCTCCTCCCTCTCAGTCATCCTCCTCAGCCATCCTCCTCAGCCATCCTCCTCAGTCCTCCTCCTCAGTTCTCCTCCTCCTCCTCCTAGGTCCTCCTTCTGGGTCCTCCTCCTGAGTCCTCCTCCTCCTCCACTTCCCTCTCAGTCATCTCCTCAGCCATCCTCCTCAGTCCTCCTCAGTCCTCCTCCTCCTGGGTCCCCCTCCTCCTCTTCATCCTCCTCCTATCCTCTCATCGTCCTCGTCCTCCTACTGGTCCACTGTCGCTCATGTCCCCATAGTCCGTCCAGTCCCCAGTCCTCCGTCCCCAATCCTCCGTCTCCGTCCCCTAAGTTTCCTCCTCCGTCCCCATTTCCAGTCCGTTCCTCCATTTCCCTAAGTCCCCTCCTGTGTCTCTAGATCCAAAGGACGGACTCAGGCGGACTCTCACGATGACCCCCCCCCCCCCTATTTGATGAGTCTCTGTCATCACTCAGCGCATCTTATCATCTCAAGCCATTCTTAGTTAGATACAATAGTCTCATCCTTCCAGTCAGATCGCTAAGTGCTGATACCTAGTCCACGACTCCGATCTCCTCTCTAGTTCCGATATTGGTTTCGTTCCATTCCCCCGGAATACTTTTATCTCTCCTCTAGTTCTTCATCCTTGCGGATCTCGTAATCTCATATCCTAACATTCTCTTCCCCATCTTCCTTGTTGGTCCCAACTGAGCGCATTGCCGCGGTTAATACTCTCCCATCTTTCTATGCAGTTATTATTTCGTACTCATATCCTTCATATATCTACTCCCTCAGCCATCCCTAGTTCCCTGGCCCTTATGCTATGTAATTTGTCACTCCGTCCAGGAACATTATCTAGCTTGCTGTGTTCTACCCATGCACTGTACCCGTATTCGTATTTAAATACCCTGAGTACACCTCCTTCAAGCACATCCTCCTCAGCCACTTCAGTATTATGTCAAAATGTTGTCACCTAATGACACAGAATGCCCCTATTACCCATGACCGTCAATCGCAAAGTCACCGTTGGCGCTGCCGCCGACTCGTCCAATTGTACCTTTGGCCGCCATGTCCTTTGTGCCAAGCGAAATAAGATTCGTTGTCATAAAGTGGAGGAATCGCTACGGACATGACCTATTTGATAGATATAAGTATTATCAAAACAGCGGCTTTTATACAAGTCAAAGAATTTTAGTTAAGATAACAAAGGAATTCATAGACAATCAAGGTAGATCGCTAAGTGCTAGATAAAAATAGCCAACAGGACTCCGATCTCATTTAAAGTTCGCAAGATATTGGTATTCGTTACCATTCACCCCGGAAATACTTTTATCTTCTTATTCTTCATCTGTGGGGGATATCGTAATGCTATATCTAAATAAACTTTCCATTTTTGTTGTCCACAAATAGCGAAAATGGCCGCGGTAATACTCTCACATGTATTTGAATGCAGTTATTAGATTAGTGTACAATATAATAATGTATATATTACTAGATACCTTAGTTCCCCTGGCCCTTATGCTAATGTAATTTGTCACATGTCCAGGAAAACATTATCAATAGCTTTGTGTAGTTCTACCAAGCACTGTACACAGTATTGTATTTAAATACCTGAGGTACACACTACATTCAATGAGTACATCTTACTCAAACTATGTTTATGTAAGAATGTATACACTACGCACAGGAATGCGTATCTAGACCATGTATGACAGTCTACACAGTAATGAGCTGGACAAACTCGTACAATTTTAACATTTTGGCCACCTGTATTTTGTGCAGCGAAATGGAGGATTCGTTGTCAAAAGTGGAAATTGTATCGGTATGAACCTACTTATGGCTAAATAACTAGACGTATTTTTATGTAATACTGGATCGTAGTTTGTTAATACAATGTTTATACCACACAGAGAATGCTTATGTCTGAAGAAAGTAGTATCAGCTAAATTTGTAACTTTTTTTTCTCGAACTAACCGATTCCCAACTTATTTGACTTTAACACTGTATAGACAATGTATACGCACAGCACTATTAACACTGTGTCATTGCACGTTTATCTCATTCACTTCTCATATCTTGACAAGCATATCCTCGCTCCGTAATTACACAGTCCATCAACTAATGGCCGCCCCACATTCAGCGCTATATGTTAGATGGACTGCATCCTAGCACTGACCCATCATGAGAATAATCATCTAATTATGCAGATAATTAACTTATGAATATTCAGGTACGACCAGTTTCCTACGGGACCTATCAGGGATTTGTCCCTAGCCGAGGGGAGCAGGCTCAAATAAAGAAGGATCTCATGGACGACAGTCACGTGAGTTTCTTGTACATTCTTTTGTAGTTTTAATAGTCACATTGAAATGTTGCGGTCATTACCCACACGCAATATGTTTATTCAATGGAGTTAGTCAAGAAATATTCGATTACTGATTACACAATATAATATTGCGCAATTTATTCAATAAGTTATGCAAAGTTTATTTATTTAACCTTAAATTTCCTGTTTGAATAACGCAAATATTTGTATCAAAGGTGTTTTCCAGCCTGTTTACAATGTAACATTTATCATGAAGAACAATGTACGCTCCACACTGATAATCTCCATCGCAAATAACTACTCAATACTTCACCACAATATATCTGATTTAGATTTCTTAATACAATAAGTTAACTGATCTGTCTACCCTGTCTACCCTCCTGTCTACCCAGGTAATGATATTAGAGAACCACGGTTTGGTGAGTGTTGGACCAACTATTGAGGAAACCTTCCTGTGGATGGCCCAGCTTACTAAAGCTTGTGAGATACAGTGGCGTGTTCTCAGGTAACATTTAAAACGCATTTTTACTTTATTTGTGGTTTTCATTGATCCATTCGTGTCATTTAATCAAACTGTGCTCATACTTTCATGAAGTAGTAACAAAATCATGTTTTTACTGTTTTTGCAAAATATCCGTAAGCTTTCAATATCCGTAAGCTTTCAATATTGAATTATATTAATTATGCATATATAATATACACATATATTCATTCTCTTTATTTGCGGTGTTTTTAAAACTTAAAAAAAAAACAAAATGATAGGTTTGATATGTGGCATCACTTTGAAGATTAAAGTCAGCAAAATATCGGTACCAGAATGGTTCTGCCAGAATTACTTGTATACATAAGGGTAAGGGCCCGAAAGATGCACTTTCTTTTCTCTCGTGAGGTTAACTCAAGGTTAACTCTTCTTTAATCTTATATAATCCTACAGATGTGGGAAAGATAACCTGACAGACAGGACATTTGACGAGAACAAAGCATTTGAAGGAGACCTGCCAGTGGAGCTGGAATGCAATCCTAATGGTGTGGAGGTATGTCTGGTATTCCGTACATCTTCACCTCTGTTAAATTCATTATTTGAAATTGGATATGGAAATGTAAGCGAGAAAGTTGTGAGAAAGACGAGCCTGTTTAATTTCCGTGTTATATTTTGCAGGGGTCCCTCATTAAGTCGAGTCTGTGAGTGAATAGCGAATGTATGTGTTCGAGTGTGATGAGATGATTATGGCAAAAAGCCAATTAAATGTGTGTGTGTGACACTGTGCTGAAAATGGGAAATGTTGGAGCTAACTTTACGGAACACGTGAAGGTATTTTCTGTGGTTGTAGATGCGCACAAAATACGCGCATCGCGCGCGTTCGTACAATTTTCGTTGATGATCACAGCATTAGTGCATGGCACGTACGATCTAACGATTTTAAGAATGAATTTAAAATTACTTTCGCGGCAATTTATCATTTGTCGCTGTGTGCCATAAGAATTTCGGATGAGTGATAATTAGTCTATTATCCATGAAAAGTATTTATTTTTTCTGATCGACAAGTCTGTGAGGTAATTTATCCCGTACGATGCAATTAGACCGGAGTCCATGACTTAATAGTTGAAATATTTCACGCATTCATTCTAAAATTCTTCTGAAATTAATCTAGAATCCTATTTCCCAGTACAGTACAGGAGAGTTAGAATTCGAGTCGTACATGAGGATGCTCGACAACCAAGGCGCCAACACAGGGTACCCATACAAGATGCCCAACATATTCAGAGACCAGATCCCAACCTACCCCGCTGTCCAATACCCACCCATTGTACCGGGTATGGAAGGTCCCCCCTCTGACACAGACAGGTCTAAGATTACTAACAGCAAGCGCGAGGCCTGGTTCATAAACACACAGGTGACAGAACAGAGAATATCCACTAAACAGACCACCCGCAAATCAGACGAGGTAATATCAGAGCAAGTGACTTTCATTTTATTATTAATCATTCAAACTAATCAGTGAGTTGGTTATCTCAGTTTACTTAACTGTTAAACATCGATCTTAGAATAAAATCCCTCACTGAAAACACAAGGTTAATTTTCATAATGTCACAGGAATCGGTAGGTAAAGGAAGTGGTAAGAGATTTGCCCCATTCGATTCAGTTGTCAGTCCAGCTGGAAGCAGATCAGGTATACATTGTTTCTGTGTTGTGTTCAGTCTAAGCTTTCTCGATAAACTCATCAAATCAATTAAATTGTGAAATCAACCTATTAGTTAATATATTCACAATTCATATGTTGAATATATTGATTCGACAATATGTCTGCAATCGTTATATTTATCAAAATGAGTGAATTGTAACATTTCCTGTAACCCACCACTTGAAAGGAGACAAACCAAAGGACGACACCAGATCACTGAGGATACACGAAATAGAGCAGGAGTTGGAGAAAATGCAAGCTCAGTACTCTTCAAAACCCAAGGTGTGTGTCAAGCACTTTTCTAACTTAAAAAATTACAGGACTTCTTGTTACAGGACGCCGCAAGAAGCGCGACACTAGTAGTTACAATACAGACAGTGACGATGAAGCACCCCCGCGGCCCCCTCCTCCTTTCAAACGCAAATCTCGCGGCTCGTCTTCCCTATCTCCAGATGAACTTGATGGTAAAAAGAAATCGCCCCATTCCAGTGATTCAGACGAAGATGGGCCCGGCCGACCCCCACGTCCTCAAGAGGACTCCAGTATAGACGGGTATCACTCAACTAAATCAGGGTCAGATTCAGAAGCAACACAGCACGAAGTTGTCCGGGAGCAGAAAGTGGAACGTGAGATGTTCGTCAACGGACGTCCAGTCAAGCGCCGGCCCGCCAGTTCGAGCAGTATGGGAAGCAGTCTGGAGGAAGTACCACCAGCACGCATTCAGAGCATTCACTCGAGTGGGTCATCGACTGATAGTGGGTCATCGACTGATAGCGACAGCGTGAGTTGGTGTGAAAACTCTCCTCTCTGGATCTCACACCATTGCGTAGACATGATTTTATACTTACCGTTTCATTGCTTCCCCATTCACACTGGGCTTCCATCACTTCCTCCTTTTTTAGCGTGCATATATTTCTCTCTTCAATTGTTGCACAATGCACGTGCTGGAAGTATAAATCATGTCTAAGTGATGGTTTTGCATGTTTGATGTATAAATGACTGTGATCAATAGTGCAAGTGCATGTGGTCTTCTGATCAAACTCTATTCTCCTGATTTTCTTGTCTTTGAAGTGATGCTAGCCCAGTAGTATTTATTTTGTTTGTGTTCTCGCGTGACAGTTTCATTCAATCTTTGATTAATTTTCTTTGTGGATATCACAATAGCGGTATTCATACAATTTATGAATTCTTTTCTAATATTATCTCAGTTTGGAAAATTCCTTGATTATATTTCACGACTCAGCTATGTAGAAATTAGATGGTACAACAAGTGAAATATCCGTATGATTGACTTGGATTAAATCAAATATGCCGTGACAAGTTGCCGTGACAAGTTGCCTACGTTATAGGACTCGTACAGTTTCCAAAATAAAAGCTTACTAATTGCTTGATAATCATAGCAAGTTTGCCGAAATCTCTTGTGCTTAACTAGTAACTTATTCCTTACATCTTTACTATTATCTGTTTGATCATATATTTAATGGGTTTAAGTACAGAACAATGTATACTTTTAGCTAATTATACTAATTACTTAATTAGTCTAATTAACTGATCAGTTAGTGACTCATTAACTCCCAGGATCGTGTGAGTAGTCCTAGTGGTGATAGTAGAAGATCTGACCAGGCCGATGTCATCAGTCTCTCCGATGTTAGTGTTAAGTTCTAACATACTATTTAGATACTGTCAAGTTTAATGATTTACTTGCACGGGGGAGAGGGGGGGGGGGGGTTATATAATTTCTGGGTGTCTATTGAACTCTGGTGTATTTCTAACGAATGAAATATATCAATTGTCGTGATGTTGATAAAAAGTTGGGAAAATGTTGATAGACATATAATAAAATGATCAAATAAACCTGAGCAACAACCATCAGGTATAATTCCTAGTCGAATAATTCAGTAGATACATTTAAAAATTTGGCATTATTGACAATTGGAAATTCTTACATAAAAGTTTAAGTCTTCAACTCATAAAAATCCTCAGTCACCCTCCTCGGGAGTAGAATTAGAAGGGCCGCCAACTTTACTGTGTGAGTCAGTAAGCGAGACAGAAGAAATGCCCGAAGTAGGGTTCGGCTTCGTGAACCCTGTCGAGGATGCGGTAAGTTCTGGTTTGTTTTATTTCCGCGAGATTAAGCTCTTGGGGGTTCCTGTTTCTCGTTGCACGTTCCCTTTTTTAATGCCGAGAAAATATCTTTCAGGCACATTTCATGTACAGTTCACGTTTAAGCCTCCTGCCTCATTCAATGTTCTCCATTTTTAATGTTTTGAGTTTTTGTTTTGAAAATAACGCGGATATTATGGTTCTCAGAACAACGTTTGGGAGAAAAAGCTGGCTAAACTCGACCCCAAGGTGACCTAGATAAATAATTATTTGGTAAAAAATATTGTTAATCTGTTAAGTGTTTGCCTGGTACTAGTAATGCTATGACTATGAGATATGAGTGGTACCAGTTACTTTTCAATGAGATAAGAGTGACTGGTCATGGTAATGTTGATGCATGGGGCCAGTGCACATAGCAATCTATCGGGATTTTTATGTATGATTTAATTGTTGGGAAAACTAAGAAGAGATTGGAAATGGAGTGTCTGTAGACTATAGTGATGACTGATGATATCGCATGTACAGTACAAGCATACCCGAGCATTCTTATTTGATATTACTGATATTATTTAACTTCTACAACATAGTATCACGTGAAACCACGACATATGAAATATCTTGCCTCTTCCATTCCTGAGTAGAGGTCTCCTCTCTCCAGCTATATCACCAGCTATATCTTGCTATATCACAAGCTATATCTTGCTCAGCTCCCGCTCTTGAGTTCAGGTATTACCAGACGAGCCCTCATTTGCTGGTAAACCTAACCTGAAGCGACCAGTGAGGGGCGAGGCGCTGCCGAGAGTTCCAGGACAGCAGGCCATGCTACTCAGCAGTGGGTCAGAGGGATGGGATACTCCGGATGAGCAGGTCATTCCCCTAGCCAGCCCCAAATTTCACCCAACCAGCCCCACAGATAATACTATATCCCCCTCCCCCACAATATATAGAACTCATCATATTAATCTTATTTCTCTTGATCTCATTTCTTTTATCTGGAATGGTTAAAACAGACTAATGAATTACAGAGGGCATTATCTTTGCCTTGGTTGTTGAATCTTTGCATGTTTAGCTTATCTTAAATCACTTTAATATTGACCAATGATCCCTATCTTGCTCCTAATGGCCAGTCCCGGTCCCTGTAAACTATAAGCCCCTTAAATAAGATCCATGTTTGAGCCAAGTCTCTAAGTTCAGGCCAATGATGAATATGGAAGTGAATTAGACCCTTCTTTTGCTGGTAAACCCAACTTAAAACGACCGCTGAGAGGAGAGAGCGTACCCAGAGTGCCTGGTCAGCAGGCGGAGACTCTCAGCAGCGGATCAGATACTGATCAGGTGATCCATATTGAAGTAACCCGTCTATATCGACTATTTCTGTTATCTTGGATGAGATGGTCAACTATTGGTTAATGGTTTAAGAATTTGACCAATCGATTGAGTTTAGGTTGAGGCACCAGAAGGATCAGAAAAACCCACTAAAGTAGAGCATGTTAGTAAAACTGGGGGAAAACCATCAAAAGAGAAACCTAAGAAAAAGAAAAAGAGAGGAGATGACGAGGCAGGATCTGACTCTCATTCAGATCCGGAGGTTATCCAGCCCAGAGATGGCTCAGAATCAGGAGTAGGCCCGGAGAAGAAGGATCCCTGGGAAGGGGTTTGTGGCATGTCTCAGCTCAGTTCAGCATGTACCATGTTCAGCATGTGTCATTGTCTACCACATACATCTGGATCAGCCGCATTTTGCCGCACCATAGGACCGACAGTTGATAACGGCCCCGACAAAATGCAGCTGAGCCCCTCCTCAACACTGTTGCATGTTCTGTTCTGCATGATCTGTATATTAACTCTACAAACAAACGACTTCTTTCGCACTAATTATTAACGTTAATGCTATCTCTGGTACTAAACTACCTGCTACATTCCTACGGACTAAGATACATGTACTGTGCGTGGTTGTGGAATGTGTGTAGTAACATATTCGCTGTTCGTACTGATAATGCAAACAATAATAAACAATTAGATGTATCAATTAACTTGTTTTTGTATCCTGCCAAATTGGCAGATGATCTAATTTAATTGGCAACAAGCCCGCCAAATCGTTCCTGTAAAATTACAATCGTGAACTCTGTTTTAACTGATTTTCAAGTATGTTTAATGAAGTACAGGTGATTACCCATTTGATTGTTTTGATCCTGTAAATTGTTACATTTATAACTAATTTATTCAGCTGAAAGTTGAAATACATCCCTAGTACTCTCATCCAGAGTCCATATAGTATTGGGCGCACGGCTCTAATTCGATTGAGAAAACTCTCTGAAGAACTCTTAAGAATTAACATTTTATTTTTCTAGTTTCCTCTCCTTACACGAGACGTTCCTATTGACCTTAAGATGTCTGTAACAACTGACCCTGACGTTGAAGAGGGTAATTATCTTCCTGTCATTTTATTTCTCTCTTTTTGTTGTGAATTTGAAAGAGCATTTCGTTTTAACAGTGCTGTCGATACGATTGGGTGAATTTATCATGATAATCAGAAATTTGTTATCGTAGATGCTGGGGGTGAGGACGGAGCAGAGATAGCGGATGAGATAGTAGTCAACACAGTCACCACATCCATAATAGAGATAACAGAGGTTCAAGAGGACGAATTCGAGGTTGGTTGGCGAAGAAGCACGTGCTATGTTATTATTGTTTTTCTGAGCCGCGCAAATTTTCGTTACTGCCGACAAGAACTTGATCAACACTACTGTCAGTTATGTTGACATTTCGTAACGATACTACTGATGAATTAGGTTCGACATAATTAACGGCCTACCACTATTCAGTCATACACTACCTTATAATTATATTACAAGTTCAGAGGTAGTGGGTAATACGGACAGCTTCATATCACACTTACTGGCAAATTAGAGTTCTGCACCTGTCCCACATTTTATGGATGGTTGCGTTTATTGTACAGATGAACGAGATAAGAAATAGTTCTTAAAATACTATTTAACTTAATATCTCGGACAGTACAGTACTTTCCATCAGCTGTTCAGTGTTCAGATTATTTTAAAACTCTGGAGTTTTAGAAATATCAAAACACCCTAAATCCATTGCATTGTCAAAGAAATGACTGTTCACTGTTCAGGTGATAACGCTACAACCCGGCCAACTGACAGAGGATCAGAAAGCGGAGCTGATCAAACAGGGTTACGTTCTCCAGGAAGGTAAGTAGAACGGAGTGATTAGTGTTACATCGATCCAGCTTAATAAGCTTAGTGATTATCGTAATTAATTGGAGTAATTTTTGTCAGTAGTTACTAGTTATTAATCAACAGTGATTTATAATTATTCATTTTCAGTTTAAGAGCGATCAGACGATCTCTGGAGGAACAAGGGATATGTTTTGTAAAGATATGTTTTATCATAATTATGATAATAATTATTATAATGGACACTATAGCAGATCTGCGACCGGAACATTTATGATCACGGATTTTTATTTACCAATAATATATTATTATTATGACATTTAAAGAGCATTTGAAATGGTCATGCATGCAAATTTATTAAAGTTTTATGTTTTTACAGTATTTTAGTAATTAACATTGATATCACTTTTAATTCGTTATATATGGTATTTCAAATGTGACGGATTCAGTTTTGCGGACGACAAATTTCATTTCAGAGTTCTATAATTTCAGAAATCAGAAATAATACTTCTTTTGAAATAAACATGATTCATCATTTAACATAATTTTATGATATATCATTATTATCAGTCATTTATATTCTTGTTCTTGACATCACTGAGCATCAATTTACATATGATTTTTAACGCGGATTCACATTTTTAGCCAATTACTCTACCACTGTTATAATATGCATTTAGTCATAGTATCTAAAATAGATGTTTGAAGATAGATTTCTGATTCGACCCACCACAAAAACCCTCGATCCAAACTCCCTTCGCTGAAAATTTATCATGAAATTAAGTCTATCTTCAAAAAGATATTAACTTCCAATATGCTGTTTTGAGTGTCATTTTTCATTGTGACAATAGTTTCTACCCAGAGAGGGTGTACATTTTAATTTATATGTAGATTTTTGTCATATTTCTTGTTTGCTAGTGTAGAATTAACTCTTGGTTAACAAAAACAATGTATAATATTTTAGTATAATTAAAAATTCGTGAATCAATGTTGGGCTGTTAATTTTAAAAAGTTTTTTAGATCCGGTCATCTGAAAATTTATGTAAATGCCTTTGCAGCTTTCGTTTTACGTTTCTTCGATTCTGTTATACTGTATGATTTCAATTGCTATAACATATAATACATTCGAAATTTCATCTTCAGTTCGTTTGAAAAGGTGTTTCATTACTAGAGTCTGTTAACAAAAGTCCTTGCTTTGCCGAAATAAAATAAAAACACTCAAATGATAAGATGATGTAACTTCCAGTCATCTCAGTAAGTCACGAATTTCAACAGACAAATCCATATCAACATCTGAGACTTTTATCCTTAATTCCCGGCCGAATCCCCGTTGAATGATGAAATTTAAAGTCATTGGCTCCACGGTGCAATCTCTGATTGCTGTTTCCAAATTCCAATATTAATTGAGTGAGTTCAATAAACTAAACTGCACGCACATCCCTACAACTCTGGTTGAGAGCCAATAAGAGTCTTCTTATCAGTCACCAGGACCACCCCCACCCTCTCCTCCACCCCCACCCTCTCCTCCTCCCCCACCCTCTCCTCCACCCCCACCCTCTCCTCCACCCCCACCCTCTCCTCCACCCCCACCCTCTCCTCCTCCTCCTCCTCCAGAGTATCCTCTGTATCCACATCCTCCTCCACCACTGTGCTGTCTTGTTGAGACTGGGCTAGAGAGGGTGTTCGGTCCAGGGAGGCGTCCCTAGTGTCCCAGTCTACTGATTTAGCGGAGCTGGCGCTGTACATCCCACTGTCTGCTGGGGACACCTTTCTCGGCTGGGATTCTACTGTAGTCACCTGGGACAGGGGGTTTAGTCGGGGGTTTACTTTGTCGGGGGTTCACTTTGTCGCAATAAGACAGGCACTACATGGACAGTGGACACAGATGGTGGAATGTTTTTAGTTGGGGTTAGTTTACTGATCAATATTAATTTTGAGCAATTTATATAATACACCGAATTGAAATAGTGTTCAATGTCCGTCCCTACCTGTGTTAGTTCACGCTGGTCAGGTTCTAGAGAGTGATCACTCCCAGTTTTGTAGGTGACCCCTCTTGTGGTGATAGATACCTGGAAACAAGACAAGTTTCACTCACACTGTCAGGATTCATGAAAAGTGCAAGTGGTACTGATAATGAAATCAGTTAGTTCATATTAACATAGCTATTGTTTCTGATTGATGTTGATTTCCTTTATAGAAACTTAATAGTCAACCCCACGCAGTAACAATAGAAAGGCCTCTAATAAGGATTTCGCAATATCGACCATGACGTCACGCTGAACAGGGTCATTCTCGATATACGCCGCTCAGTCTGAAGGCCGGGCCCCCGAGCTTCCGAGCTCGTATTGCATATTACAGGGAGGCCTGCCTTTCGAGATCGCATTTCAAAGGGGGAGCCTAGCCTCCAATCCAAAATCGTGTATCGAATGGGGGGGGGGGGGGGGGGGGCTTCGATAAAATATTTTTGGCTCATAATGATCAGGGTAACCTGAAATGTAAACAAAAGTTGTTTCCAGGATAACTTTGTAAATTTTTTGACTTATGAATATAAGCTTCTTCCAACTGTCCAAATCATGTGCGAAAAACTCTCATAATGTTTGTCCGTTAATGGCCGCAAATGTCCGTCCGAGCCCACCATAATGTCCGTCAATGTCCGTCAATGTCCGCTAATGTCCCAAAAAACACATCCGTTCACCTTTGTCTCATAGAATCCAAAAAGGACAGGACATAGGCGGACATTGGCGGACGTGTCACCCCCCTTCCCATTACAGTATGTTGCACTATTTGTGGGACAATTAGGCTAGTCTGTTGCTCTTACTCTTTGTGTGGTGGTAGCTGAATTTCTTTTCTCTAGCTTACCAACGTCCGGGGCACTGTCTTTTAATATGGAGACCTGTAAAATGTAGATATGAAGAGGTTAGCAAGTATAGGGGAGAGGGATTTCAGTGACCATCTGTTTATGTTAACAATTCAGACATTTCTTTCAGAAAACCTTTAATAATATTAACTGTGAGTCTAATCAGAAAGACCAAACGATAAAGTCTAAGATTTAAGTTTAGTCACTATTAAAGAGAGCTAGAAAGCTTTGCACCCACCCTTTTGCAGGATCCAGATTCGTTGTGTTGTGCTGCCTGTGCAGTTCTAGACCGGATACTCTGAAAGTTTCTTCTGGGTGTTTCTATCACAATACTCCCAGATACTGACTCCCTGGCAAGATGTGGTACATAAGATGTGGTATATAAATATTTGTGGTGCATGTTCGATACACTAAAAACATGCAACACTCCTAGCTAGCTGCGTGTCTTATAGAAACAACATCTTGATAAATAGGCGCTCAGTAAACTATATCTTTTCAAGATAACTTTATTACTATACTCACGGTCTGACAAGTTTGAGTTGCTCAGCACAGAGTACCCCTCTGTGGAACTGGGGGGTACAGGGAGAGCCGTGGTTCCCGTTCTCTAATCTCTTCTGGGGAGACAGAATTAGAGACAGAGTTAGATCTTACTGTTGGACCACTGTTTAATTGCAGGCCCTTAATGAAGTGTGTAAAAGTAGGCTGTTGAGACAATCAAAGGGAAACGTTGAAAGGTAACCACTGATGGTTAGCTGTTAAGCGATATCTTACCTTGGCAATAGCTTTCTGGAATCTGTACTCATTCTTAAACAAACAGCCGGAACCGATCAGACACATGGTGATTAACACTTCTAGAGTGGAGAGCGATCAGTTAACTTATCTTAATCCGGCAAACTTGCAAATGCACGCTCAAATTCGGTATGTAGTGAGAAAACTCGCTTATAGAAGAAACCAAAATTACTGGATATATGAAACTTTATTATAAACGCAAATTAATGGTCATTAAAAATTAAAGCAACAAAAAGGCAAGTTTATCCAGCCAATAATATTGGATTTCTGTGCACGATCCTACAACATGAACAGAACGCATAAGTATAACAACTAAATTTTAAAGCTAAATTGTATTTTGAAACAATTGACAATGTTGCATCCGCATTATTTTCCATTACTAAATTGTAAATGAGACTGGCCAAGAAACAATTGGTCGGTTAAACTCAAAGCTGGAATTTTGATCAACTGTCTGCTGTTTAAACAATTGCAAACAGTTTTATTTATTTGTACGTAGTCCATTAAGCAAACAGCAGTGTGGAATTCACAAAGAATGTTTTAAAACGTTGACTAGTTAGCATTTATCCTAATATTTATCAATTTGATATTGACTGCTTCTTGAGAAGATGTTCCCCAAACTGTAACTAAAAGTAGATCTGATAACTGATTGGGACAGCATAAAAAATCGCAAAATACAGTAAAAAACTAGCTTCAGTCTAAAAATAAAATGTATGCTACCGGTCCCGTCGATTTGGGAGGTCGAAATGAGGACGGAACAGACAAATGTTTATTTATCATTATGCATGCATATATATTATATTTATATGCGGCTAAAAATGCATGATTTAAGGTATGATGCCACGTTATGTAACATGTGCTATATTTGGTATGTTCTTGATGTGGTCAGTAGAATATGAAATACTGAATCATATGTAATTGTATCAAATCAACCGTTTCATGACTACTTCTTCATTACACATCTGTACATTCAACAAGGCAAGTAACTACAAGATCCCGGCAAGCTCTCAGCAGCATATTTTTACAGCTGAACAAATCATATTCAAGCGGTTGAACAAATCATATGCATTATTCAAGCGACAACAGACAAGGCAAATCCTTGTATATGCATTATCCTTGCACTGTACTCCACGCTACTCTACTTCAGTTATATAGTAGTGCAGCCAGCACCTGTCCCTGTATAGTGTGCTCACTGCAGTACACTGTGACTTGTCGTGCACAGAACATAATCAGATAGCTGGATTACGTCAAGTTCCTCCTTCAAACTTTCAGGGACAGCCCCCGGATGAGTATTATAATCGAGTCCTGATAACCTGGTTACTTTGTTGAAAGTCTCAAGTGAAATCAGGTAAACAACCAATACCGAATATCAAGTGTCCGGAAGTGATGTGGTACTGGAGCTCAGAGCAAAAAGGTAAAACTACCGACCAAACTTCTGATTACATCTGGCTAAATAGTGGCTGGTAATAACGTATCTAGTTACAAATAACTACAAATATCATCCCTAGTTTATCCATCCGCAAACGGACACAAGATCACAAGTCCAATGATTTGATCTTTGGGGATTGGCCTTTATAATAATTAGTATTTGACACAACACAGAACTGCCAACCATCCATGAAATTTAGCAAGATATCATCCTCGTAACTTTTAAAGGCTCTATCTAGTATCTATGTTATACTACTGGCCTTTCGAGTCGTCGCTCCAGAGCAGAGAGCATGAAAGCAAATGAAACACGTACAACATCAAATATGTTGAATTTAGAAACTCGTTGTAGATCGGGGTACAATAGCGGTTTGATTTCATTATCGAAATCAAATTTATCACGCCTAAACCGCGGTGACCATAAAACTGCGATCAATTCCGAGGGTAGTGTGTGTTTCTATTCTTGATACGACCAACGGTGCAGCACACCTGTAAAATCTCAATCCAATCAAATCTAAAGCACCCAGTTGGTAATACGTAGCAGCTACCAGCAAGGTAATGTTCAGTACACTAACGGACACTCGGCCCCGATGGGCCGATGTGTTCTGATATAGAGAGGGACTCAGAAATTGCTTGGAACATGAGGTCATCTAAGTTCTAACCATCACGATTATGAGGTAAAATTGAAGTTAAGACTAGATGACGGGAGACAAAAAGCAAGCTGACGAACAGCTTACGTCGGGACAAGTGTGATTTCTACGAAATCAGTATCGTTATTATATACCGGTATCAGTATCATGAAACCAGTATGTGAGTCTTGACATGCAAGACGTGATGCAGACTGAAACACGACTACTTTCTAAGAAATGTGGTAGTAAGAATGCGACCACGTGCTCATGTGTCATGTAGGCATAATTTATAGCGCAGCTAGTCTTATTATACAATATGCATACTGTCCGGTGAATGGTATAGATTACGAACAATACGGGAGAACATGACCAATATAATGATGAAGTTTGTTTATTATGAGATGCTGCTTCAGCCTACCTTGGTTTAAGTATTTCAATTTACCTGGAACAATGAAATTGAATTTGAAACTCCACGGAAAACACGTAAAAATGAACAATAGTCCTTCAGCCGGTACAGTTGATAATGATACGATTTGTTCATGACCAATGACCGCAATCCAACTGAATTTGCTTGCTGCGTGTATTTTTAATAAATGGAATATGTCAATTGTTGCAATATTGATAAAATATTCAAACCATGGGAAAATCAGAATGAATACTAATGCAATGTAATAGTTGAACTTCAAAAAATACCTAATACAGATGTAATACTGATGATGTGTGAGTACCGACACATCATCAGCATCTCAAGACTCAAATAATAGCCAGCACACTTCATCCTTATATTATACTGATATATCTGCCGTTTTCTGACAAAAGTGCTTAAGTAACATTTTGGAAATTTCGGGTTTTTTGGTCTAACTTTTGTTTTTGGGTCAAGAACTATCCCTGAGGACCATTGGATACATTCGCCGACCCCCCAAAACCCCCTTTTTGGAACCCCCTAAAATGCAAAAAATGGTCATTTTTCTGAGAAAAGTGCTTAAGAAATATTTTGGAAAACGGGTGCCGCTTATTTTAAAAATGGTGCCATTTCGGGAACTGAAAACGGTGGCATTGTTTTCTACGTCCAAAACTGGCCTAGTGACGGCAATTTGGTGATCGTGGGTCTTTTGGCCTGGGAAAAAACAATTTATGTCACTTAAGCACTTTTGTGAAAACGGGCTCGTTTTCTAAGAAATTCAAACTATAATTTGTGATTTTGAGGCACTTTCCGAGAAGTTAGGATGATGAAACCTTGTCATAAGTCTCAAAAGTCGACAAAGTACCTTAGAAACATAGTGGGTGCAGTTTAAATTGGACAATAGCTAGCCCAGAGCAATTACAGAATTGAAATCTTTAAAGTCAATTTGCACAAAATGAACCTTGTGTTACTTAAGCACTTTTGTCAGAAAACGGCAGACATGTAGCATTTACACGAGCCGGGGACTAAAAGAAACTCAAAATCAACAAAAATCACAAGCAACGGCAGGAATAATAACTATCAGTATTTCCTTTCGGCTGATATTAAAACTAACAGACGCAGAGTGGGAACGTCAGTTAATAAAGGCAATCAGAACCTGCTGCCGTTGCTACGGTTACAAAATAGGCTATATAAATTATAAATAGTGTTGTGAGACTGGCACCTTGTGGCCTGGACCATTATTCACTGCATAATTACTTGAGTCTATTTGATTCGTTACTTTAATCTACTGATTTTTACTTGGCTACCTAAAATTTAATCAATTTAATTGAGATAATTGAATAACAAATACCCTCGCACAGTGGGAAAGCGTTAGGAATGCCATAATTCATGCAGCCATTTCCGATCGTAACCAATTTTCAATTTGTATAGCCAACTTTGGACTAGCTAAACGATCGCTCAGATGCAATGGTTTGAACGGTGCTGAACCCCCTCCCCCTGAGCCCCCCCCCCCCCCCCTTGAAGTTTGAAAGGTCTGGAGTCAAGTGAAAAATGCAAAGCATACAACTTTTTATGTATCATATCTGGTATCCGTATAGCACTAAGGAATGTCAAAGGAACGCAGAAGTGAAACGTGACAGTCCACGGTATTGCAACGGACTACGGAGTCTAATTTAGAAAATAACATGAGACTGGTACCGTCAGCGTCAAATAATTCAATTTTAATTTCGAAGACTAAAATATTTCCGTTCAAATGTCTCCGTTATCGTAGACATCTCACCGTCCTACGGCATTATAAACTCTATTCTCTATACCAACACAATATACTGAATATTACAATGCCAAAGTGCTACAATTACTGCTGGAGACTTGACCTTATGTCAATGTTGATTCGGGTTCAATGAGTATCATCGGTATTTACAATGAGTACCATCAATATTTAAAATTTATCAGGCCTAGCAACTGATCACTGATGGGGAATGTCTTGAAGAATAACAATGAACAATACAATTGAGTAAGCCAGGTCAACGCCCATGCCTGAAAGCGATCAAATGAGAATTAATGCACTGATAGGCTATGTCTCCACTCCTTTGTGATGGATAATCGGCTATCGAGTCTATTTATACATTGTACCGGTACGGGTATTGGGACTCAATTTGAGATCATACCATCGACTATTCAACTAATGATGTGCAATGTGTTTGTAGCAACTGTTGTTAGGCTAAGTTATAGTCTCTGGGCTCATAATTAATTACTATAAAAGTATACCCCTGTACATACACTCTAATCTCTCTAGCTTACAGGGTTCGTAATCGTAGAGCGATAACTGTGACTGTGACTGTGACTGTGACTGTGACTGTGACTGTGACTGTGACTGTGACTGTGACTGTGACTGTGACTGTGACTGTGACTGTGACTGTGACTGTGACTGTGACTGTGACTGTGACTGTGACTGTGACTGTGACTGTGACTGTGACTGTGACTGTGACTGTGACTGTGACTGTGACTGTGACTGTGACTGTGACTGTGACTGTGACTGTGACTGTGACTGTGACTGTGACTGTGACTGTGACTGTGACTGTGACTGTGACTGTGACTGTGACTGTGACTGTGACTGTGACTGTGACTGTGACTGTGACTGTGACTGTGACTGTGACT